AGTGAACTCTGAATTTTCTGAATTAACTCAAATGTAAGACCACATTCTTCAATACACATAGTACTGCCCCAACTATACTTGTCAAAAGTTATCTGCTGTTGAATAGGACCAGAGCTAGAGCAGGAATAAATATACTGAAGAATTTCAGTTTTATTAACATATCCTGTTGAGATCATCTCCACTCCCTTGGATCCTGGATCTTGTGAAGCAAATACTGCAGCACTGCAAACTTTTGCTGTGCTAGTTCAGCATGATATTATTTCCCTCTGTGCTTGTACATGGAAAGAGACTTGAGAGGGAGAAGAAAAAGGGTTCAGGTATATATCACCCTACAAACGGTGGGGAAAGAGTAGCAGATATTAATATCAGAGAGAACACATAAGAAGAAATTAATTTCTCCAGGCATCGCCTGCTGAGTTTCCATTAAGTCCTGGCAGCAATGGGAATCAGCAACTTCTTTTCTCAGCTGTTGCTGTAACCTAAAAAGAGCCCTGAAAGGCTCCGTGGAAGGTGACATTGAGAAGACAGGTCAGTGCTGCACTGGATGTGTGGCTTATGGAAAAGGCAGGAGAGCAGTTTCTTTTATGACATATATTTTATCATATTTTAAAGGAGCTCAGTACAAAGGTATTTTCCTCAGCTTCCCTGGCAGAGCACAGATAATTGTATTCTTCTCTCTGTACCCTGAAAAGTACCTGAATTTGTCATTATGTCTGAGTGCATATAAACTTCATCAGGGTTATATTGTTACTACTCTCTCTAAATTGATTTCATTCCATGTGTAGAAATTGTGTGAGGCTCCATAAACTAAACAATTTTGATTTTTTTTTGCATTGTCTTTGGACAATATAAAACAATCACATCAAGAAAAACTGCCTAAAATTTGAATTTGAGAACACAATTCCGTAAAATATAATAAAAATAGTCAGAATATTTGAAAGGACAGAAAACCACTGTAACTATTTGTAATGATAGAGGGTGTCACTTGCGTTTAGGACTGTGAAATATACTGGCAAACAGTATGTTGCTCATGTACAGCAAATTTGTAAAGCAGTAAGAATTAGAGGTGAAGATCCATATATTACATTTAGATATTGTAGAACTGTTGCATACCATAGTTATGGATGTTATATTGAAATGTACACAATACTTTCCTGAAGTAAAATTGGGAATTGAACATACCTTTTATTCACCTTTACTGCAATCAATTCAAAAATTCCTTCACAATTTTTTTCACAAAGAATATATATGGAACTATTCTGCTATATAGCTGTGGAAAGCTATATGGCAGAATAACATATAACATAGCAACATAACACAGAGTGACAGTTGTGTCCTCATGGGAACACTGACCAAACACACTTGGCCTTTGACTAAATAAACATTGAATGATTTGCAGCTAGATAAAATGTCATCTGACTACTGAGAGGACATTAGGGAGCAAGGAAGGAATTCTTTCTCACAGCCTGACTCATATGTGAGAAGCTACCTTAGGTCCCAGCACTGCATAAGAGAGGCTTGCTACATGCCACTGAGAGCAGGACTTAAAGGCAACAGCAGCTACTCAGAGAAGACCTCAGGAATACTGGTCAGAGCCTCATTGAACACAACCTCCAGTAGTGCCACATCTGTTACTTCTCTGGGAAACCCATCCCTGTATCTCACCACATTCATCATAAAATATTTCTGCCTTATATCTATTTGAAATCTTCATTTTTTCAGCTTAAAAATAGTGTTCCTTGCCCTTTAAATTCCTTGCTTTGTCTTGCTTACAAGCCCCCTTTAAGCACTGAAAGGCCTCAAGAAGGTGTCCTTGAACCTTTCTCATCTCCAGGCTGAACAGCCCCAACAACTGGACATGGCATTTATGCTGTGGTTTAGTGAGGGTGGTGGTGTTTGGTCAAAGGTTTGATTCTGTGATCTTGGAAGCCTTTCCCAACCATAATGATTCTATAATTCTGTGAAGTATCTCATCTTTTCTTCATAGGAGGTGTGTTCCAGTTCTTAGCCATCCTTTGGAACCACTCCATCTGGTCCAGGACTTGTGATGATAACTTCCCACATCAAGTGGTAGAGGAACCAATATGGAGAAGGGTTGTGCTGGACCTTGTTCTCACCAACCAAGGCAGGGCTGATGGGGAATGTGAAGCTCAAGGTCAGCTTTGACCGCAGTGATCACAAAATGGTGGAGTTAGAGATCCTTGGGGCAGTGAGGAGGGGACACAACAAGCTCACCTGGACTCCAGGGGAGCAGACTTTGGACTTTTCAGGGATAACTCAGGAGTGATGCATCCCAGCAAAGAGGAAGTCAGTCAAAAATGCCAGGAGGTGTGCATGGATGAACAAGGAGCTCCTGGATGAACTCAAATGCAAAAAGAAAGCCTACAGAGGGTGGGAGCAGGAACAGGTAGCCTGGGAGGAATATAGAGAATTGTTCAAGCAGCCAAGGAGCAAAGAAAATCTAAGGCTGTGATAGAATTAAACTTGGCCAGGGACATCAAAAGCAACAAGAAAAGCTTCTGTAGGAATGCTGGTGGCAAAAGGAAGATAGGAAAAATTTGGGCCCTCTCTGGAAGAAATAAGGTCACTTCATTACTGAGATCTAGAGAAAGCTGAGGTACTCAGTGATGTTTTTGCCTCTGTGTTAACCAGCAAGTGCTCAAGCCACATCATCCAAGTTGCAGAAGGCAAAGCCAGGAACTAGGAGAGTGAAGAACCACCCACTGTAGGAGAAGATTAGGTTTGAGACCATTTAAGGAACTTAGAGGTCCATGGGACCTGATGAGATCCATCCACACGTCCTGAGGGAACTGGCAGAGGAAATGGCTAAGCCTCTATCCATGATACTTAAGAAGTCGTGGCTGTCTGGTGAAGTTGTCACTGTAAAAGAGAAAACATAACCAGAGGTGTTCAATATCTCTTTAGCCAACAGGAGCAGGGGGTTCAGGGGCATCCTCAGCAAGCTTGCTGATGACACCAAACCACATGGTGCGGGTGCCATGCTGGAGGGAAGGGATGCCACCCAGAGGGACCTGGAGAGGTAGATGAGATGGGCCCATGTGAACTCAGAAAGTCCAGTATGGTGAAGATTAAAGTCCTGCACGTATTACTGGGTAATCCCAAGCACAAGGTACAGGTTGGGTGGAGAATGGAGAAGGACTTTGGGGTGTTACTGGATGAGAAGCCCAGCATGTCCCAGCCATGTGTCCTGGAAGCTGGGTTGATCCCCCAGTGTGGGCAGCAGGGGAGGGAGGAGGGTTTCTTCTGCCTCACTCAGGTGAGACCCACCTGGAACACTGTATTCAGCTCTGAGGCCCCCAAAATAGGAACAACGTGGACCTGATGGAGTTAATCCAGATGACGCTATGAAGATGCTTTGAGAGCATCCTCTACTCTGGAGACAGGCTAGACATGTTCAGCCTGGTGAAGAGGAGACTCCAAGAAGACCTTCTAGCAATCTTCCAGTGCCTAAAAGGGGTTGGAAGCGAGCTGGAGAGGGACTTTTGACAAGGACAAGAGGGAATGACATCCCACTGACAGGGAGCAGGTTTAAATTGGATATTAGGAAGACATTCTTCCCTAGGAGGGTGCTGAGGTCCTGGCAGTTTACCCAGAGCAAACTCTGAAAGTGTTCAAGACCAGACTGTATGGAGCTTTGAGCAGCCTGGGATAGTGGAAGGTGTCCCTGGGAAGGGCTGAATTGGTCTCTGTTTTTTCCTGGTTGGTGAATTTGGCAGCAGAAGCACATAGATGGGAGACAGGCTTTCAGCTGAGTCCGTGGTTTGTTTATCTTAGCAGAAATGGAAACAAGGATCAACTAAGAACTGCAAGTCCTTTTCTGAGGTTATCTTTTGGATGTCTGAGCTGAACTTTGTGTTGGTGAACGGTTTTCAAATTCTGCGGGAGCAGAAATTTCTGCAGGAATTTAAATGTAGACTCTGTAATGATCCATAACCATTCCCTGTTGAAAGTGGCATGAATAATCAAATGGCATTCATTTCTACAAGTCCAAATGTTTACCTCAAGGATTTATTTTATTTATGGTGCAGATTGACAGGTCACACACTTGGAAAAAAAGACGTAGGAAACAACTGAGGTCCTGTCCTGAACTGGTAATATGGATACTTTCTGATTAATTAAAACATCATCAAGAAAAGAAAGAAACATCTGTTGTTGAGCTGCACTGATCCACATAGCAGAAATCACAGCACCTCTTACAACACTCACCTTAGCAAAAATTCATGCACAGGGTTATAATAACGCTTCTTGGAGAATCTCCCCCTTCTTTTGCAATTTCAAGTGTACAGATTGGTATATCTGCACTAATGTATGTATGCTCTTCTTCATATATCGAAAGTGACCTCACATCTCTCTCTGGGACCCACCCCAGTAGTGCAGCTGCACCCCAGCCTCTTATTTCTGTGATAAAATATTTGTCCCTTATACTATCTTGCCCAGTCTATGACTCTCAGGTACCAGCACTATCACACTATCACAGAGATTGTTCCTCTGCTTTCAGAATCCTACCAGCACATCCGCCAAATGCTTTTCATAATACTTACTTCCCTCTGAGTGGCTTGCCTAATGTATTCCTCTTAGGCATTTCTTGCAGGATTCACACCATCACAAGGGAAAGATAAAAGCTGACATTCCCATTGTACAGCTGGGATAGCTGCAGCACAGACATACCAAGCAATCCATCCCAGGTCGTGCGGTGAGTCGATGAGAAAGTCAGCAATAGAATCCATAAGTCCTGAATCCAAGTTCTTTAAGTGCTTTGACTAGTCCAGATTCCCTCCTTAACACCCTTGTCACATTATTTATAGGAGATGTATTCATATAGCCACTAAGACATCAAAATTTTCTAATTATATCTAGTCATGTCAAATGACAATTATGCCCTTAGTTCAGTTTGCCAGACAATGCTTAGCCAAAGAGGGTTTGCCAAAATATTTTTGACCGAAGAAAGAGTAGGCATCTGTAGCATCTGCAGGCGAGATCGTATAAAACGTCCCTGCAACACGTCTGCCCTGGCTCCACAGAAAGCTCCAAGGTAAGAGGATGGGGTCTGCAGGCTGGCAGGAAGGGGATGGCAGCCTAATGTGCCACCACATTCCTGCTGCCTCCAGTGCTCCTGTCCAGGAGGGGACTCCATTACAAATCTGTTTTCAAGGCACCTGCATATTTTCACTCTTGATTTCTGTGCAGCAGCAATTTGGGAACTGCTATTTGTGTTTTACAGTACTGACCAGCTGCCAGCCCACAAGCCACACATCTGGTGTCACGAGAGGTAAGAAGCTGATTTACTGATTCTTAGGGGCAGAGACAGATCCTTTTGGGTGGGGTGTGTGTATGGCTGGGTGAATGGTCACTGTTTCACTGTATATTCTCAAGTCCATTGTAGTCACAGTATAAGGTGGTGGGGTGCCACAGGCTGGTAAGTTTTCAAGTGAGTCATTGAATCATAGAACAGTCCAAGTTGTGAGGAATCTCATAAGGTCATCTGGTCCATTCTTTAAGGAGCTGTGTTTGAAGTCTCTTGACTGTTCATGACAGGCCAGAAAAATCCCAATGGGGACATTATTTGCTTCTGCTAAACTCACCTAACAGGGAGTGATGTGTACTGCCTTCCCATCGTTGCTGTTGTATGTGTAATTGAACTAAGACAGTAGGAAAGCTGCAAAATTCAGCATTTTGTCTCAGAATATATAAAGTAATGTGATATTTTGTCCAAAATTTTCCATGGAATCATTAAAGCAGTAAGAGTAGAAAGAGCTGTAATATAAGAAACCAAGCTCTGATTGTCACCTCTGTAAAAGGCAATGCTGCCCTTTGTTCTCTGCTCTGCTTGTTCTCTACCTCACAAGAAATGGGAGATGCAGCCCCCCTCCTCTGGAAGCCACTACCTTTTCCTCCAGACACAAAATGTTACATGCTATATATTCTCATTTTAGTACAAATAAACAAAAGATTAAATGTTGTGTAAATATCAGCTACCTAAATGTTGTGTAAATATCAGGTACTTAACTCTGTACAGAAAGAGATATTTAAATGTTTTCCTAAGTTGCCCACTTAGGGGTTTGGTTTTGTTTTTTTTTCCCTTTGAGGCAGGGGGAAAAATAAAATATTTCAGAGAAATTAATATAGGCTTTAAAATTCCTTATTTTTAAATACTTCATTTGAGCTTTAAATCTTTGAACTTTGTTTTTCTCTAAAATCCTACTAATTTTTACAAAACAAAGTACTAGGAAAGGAGCTATCTCAGTGTGGTTTGAACAGCATTAATCTTCTTTTAACAGTCATGTTGCAATTTATGTCTGGATTCAAGCAGTTAATAAAATTAGAGAAAATTGTATTATTAATACAATTATTAAAAAGTTCTAAATACTGAAACTGAGCCTTTAAGAAGCTTGAATTTTCAGTATGCAATTCAGACGGTGGAGTATGAGCATTCTGAGCTTTGTGACAAACTATCCATTGTGAGGAAAGAGTATTATAATAATTCCAAATTAATTTTAAGAGTGCCTAAGCAGTTGAAAGGATTTTTGAGGTTCTTAATTCTACAATACAGTACCTGAATAGTTGAGATAGATTATATTTATATATATTTAAATATATATATTTATATATATTTAAATGTGATTTCAGTATAAGCCAATTAACCCCCCAATATATAATGTTGGGATAAATATGACATTTTTCATAAATCTTGAATTGTACCAATGCAAAAATTTGCTATTCCTTCCAAAAAGCAACAAGCAGTATTAATATTGTTTCTTTTTTCTCCACAATTTCTCTTTTCTTCTCCTAACAAGTGCTAACATTTTGGCAAATTTGAGCAACCTATCTGCTCTTCCACAGAGTTCTCTGCTGACAAGCTCCTCCATAAAGTGCAGCCATGTCTTCGGATTCCGAGATGGCCATCTTTGGGGAGGCGGCTCCTTACCTCCGAAAGTCAGAGAAGGAGAGAATTGCGGCCCAAAACAAACCTTTTGATGCCAAGTCATCTGTCTTCGTGGTTCATGCAAAGGAATCCTTTGTGAAAGGGACAGTCACAAGCAGGGAATCAGGGAAAGTCACTGTCAAGACTGAAGGGGGAGAGGTGAGTCAAAAACAAGGCTGAAGGACAACATTTGATCCCAACTCTGGATTCTTAGCTGACATGTGTATCCTTCCTGCCCTCTGACAGACCCTGACGGTGAAGGATGACCAGATCTTCTCCATGAACCCTCCCAAGTATGACAAAATCGAGGACATGGCCATGATGACCCACCTCCACGAACCCGCCGTGCTGTACAACCTCAAAGAGCGTTACGCAGCCTGGATGATCTACGTAAGTGGCAGCAGCAGCTTCCTTTGGGCAGCCTCAGCAACTGCTGGGCCAGGCTCAGGGGAAGCCAACGTGCTGTGTCCCTTCCTCACAGACCTACTCGGGTCTCTTCTGCGTCACTGTCAACCCCTACAAGTGGCTGCCGGTGTACAACCCCGAGGTGGTGTTGGCCTACCGAGGCAAGAAGCGCCAGGAGGCCCCTCCACACATCTTCTCCATCTCTGACAACGCCTATCAGTTCATGCTGACTGGTGAGTGCCTGACTGCCGCAGAGGCATTGGACCATTGAAATCTCTGAAGGGATTCTCTGTCTCAGCAAAGTGAAGAGACTTTTGCAAAGCTTTCTTGGTTCTGACACACACATCTGTTGTGAGGTTTACTGTCTTCATAGCATTGTTTCTACTGTTTTAAATGAAAGACACCTCTGCACTCTGTGATGTGCTTGGGAGGTTTGCTTGTTTAAGTCAAGCTGACATCAAGCAAAACCTTCAACTTACCTGACTGTGTTTCATTCCTTCTCTGTTGTTTTTTAAGTAGTGTATTTCTGTCTCTTTGACAGATCGGGAGAACCAGTCCATCCTGATCACGTACGTACACCCCCTGTGCGGGTCCCTGCGGGGCTGCCCGGTGCCAGGGGACATCCTGCCTGACCACGCACCCTCTGCTTCTCTCTTGGCTTGGGCAGCGGAGAATCCGGTGCTGGGAAGACTGTGAACACAAAGCGTGTCATCCAGTACTTTGCAACAATTGCAGCCAGTGGGGACAAGAAGAAGGAGGAGCAGACATCAGGCAAAATGCAGGTGAGTTAGTGGACAGATGGTGGGATCAATGCTTTCATCTGTTCCTGCCAGGATGTTTGGAAGGGATAACTAGCAATAATTATCTCCGAGCAGGGAACGCTTGAGGATCAAATCATCAGCGCCAACCCACTGCTGGAGGCTTTTGGAAACGCCAAGACCGTGAGGAATGACAACTCCTCGCGTTTTGTGAGTTGCTTAAGAAAACAATGCCTGTAACATAGTAAACAGGACTTTAGGACTTTATGTTAGTTATTTTTTCCATTGTTCAGCCATCATAATTTCAAGAGTAAAACTGACTTTTCTTACTATGCCTTTGCCACTTATTCTAAAGATCATTCTCCAGATTTCAAAACAGAAAAAAATAATTTTATTGTACTTTAAAATGCAATTAAAAATACCAGGTCAAGTGGTCTTCTTCCTAGAAAATATTGTAATGTTAAAAAATAAGTCTGTTTATTTTTACTTACATTTCTAGTCATTTCCTGAGAGGCAGACAGAGTTGCAGGAAAAAAGGGAATGAGGCTAGGAGAGATGGGAAAGAAAGAAAGAAAGAAAGAAAGAGGTGGGAATATATATTTTCTAATTGAATAATATATCTGCTGTTTTCCAGATTTAGTTAATGAGTAGTGAAATTGTTTATTAGATCATAATTCAGATTTGATTAGCTGAACTACTTAAATTGCTATTTATGTATCTTTAAGGTAACTTCTGTGTGCAGGATATGGTTAGAATAATTTGTCTAATGAATTTCACACATTCCTTCACGTTTATACACTCAGCACACATAAAATACAGCTGTGCCACTGCAGATTATTTTCATGGTCAAAAATGAAAAAGACAACTTTATGTTATTGGTGGAAATACATCTGATTTTAAGAAAATGTCTCTTAAGTAGGAATATTGTGCCCAGTGGAATAAATGGCAATAGTCTTCATTTCAGATATACTTTTTATGTTGTAAATCTTAAAACACTTTTATTCCTTTAAAGGGCAAATTTATCAGAATCCATTTTGGTGCCACAGGAAAACTGGCTTCTGCTGATATTGAAACATGTAAGACACTTTTCTGAGCAGTTCACAATCCATCCAGTCCCCCATCTATCCACACAACATATTTTTGCCCCACCATCTATACTACCTTTCCTGTTTTCTTCCCATCTTCCCTTTACTTTTTTTTTCCCTCCAGATCTTCTGGAGAAGTCCAGAGTCACTTTCCAGCTCAAGGCGGAAAGGAGCTACCACATCTTTTATCAGATCATGTCCAACAAGAAGCCGGAGCTAATCGGTAGGAAGAATTATTAACTTGGAGGAAGATTGCTGAATTCATCTCTTACTACTGCTTGACTAAACTAAGCCTACATGACCCATCCTCTTATTTTCAGACATGCTTCTCATCACCACCAACCCATATGACTACCAGTTTGTGAGTCAAGGCGAGATCACTGTCGCCAGCATTAATGACCAGGAGGAGCTGATGGCTACAGACGTAAGTAGCGATTCAGAATATTGTAACTACTGTCATCTCCCAGGCAAAGCTTTTATTTTACTGTTCCTATTACAGAGTGCCATTGACATCCTGGGTTTCAGTGCTGATGAGAAAACAGCCATCTACAAGCTGACAGGGGCTGTCATGCACTATGGGAATCTGAAGTTCAAGCAGAAACAACGAGAGGAGCAGGCAGAGCCTGATGGCACTGAAGGTACCAGCAAAATCTTTGGCAGACCTGTTAGAAATAGAATAATAGGCAATAATAATTACATATTTGGAAGATGGAGTAGAAATGTGTTTAGGTGAGATGGTACATAGCTATGAAACGGCCACACTCTTTCTTCAATTACTGCTCATCATTATCTGCATTACCAACTATATGTCCAACTATTACCAAATATATGTCCAAAAACCTCTTCTGAGCTACCACTTTGAATTAGCATAACTTGCTCAGTGTGCTTAGACACATTGAGAAAGAAAAGATTTTTTTAAAAAAAAATTGTTTCTGCTTGATAGTTAAAGAAAATAACTGTATTATTATCAGTTATAGAACTTCTACTTCATAAATCACTTTTTAGGGCAAAATTACTCATGAATTCTAGGATTAATTTTTAATAAATACATTGTTTCTAGATGTTTCTGTGAAGATTTTTAAAGACACATATAGCCTTTAAATATACTGCTCTGTAAAACATTTAACGCAAAGATGATTTAATTTGAATAATTATGTCACAGTTCCTCTGAGATCCAGTAAGCAAAATCTGATCACAAGAACATTAAATATTGGAGCTGTTTTGGAAATGGTTCATCACTCAAAGTGCTGCATGTCTTGCTAGCCTAAATTTTTCTATCATCTTATCTTTGTACTTAGTTGCTGACAAGGCTGCCTACCTGATGGGGCTGAACTCAGCAGATCTGCTCAAGGCCCTCTGCTACCCCCGCGTCAAGGTGGGAAATGAATACGTGACCAAGGGCCAAACTGTGCAGCAGGTAACAACAACCAGCTGGTGACTGGGAACCTGACTTGAATCATGTACTGTTTACTCTGGATATTGTATTTCTTCTGCTCCAATCTGCTTTGGTTTAGGTGTACAATTCAGTGGGTGCCCTGGCAAAGGCTGTCTATGAGAAGATGTTCCTGTGGATGGTTGTTCGCATCAATGAACAGCTGGACACGAAGCAGCCCAGGCAGTATTTCATTGGTGTCCTGGACATTGCTGGCTTTGAGATCTTTGATGTAAGGATTTCAGGTTTGAGGGTTGCTCTTCAAGGGAAGGATTCTTATATCAGAGGACTTGCAATTAACATTCCTCTGTAGGTTTAACATGGTAGTCATTTATGATTTTATGCAGAAAAAAACCCAGTCATTTTCTTTTATAGCAGAAAACAAAATCCTCAAAAGCTCCATCCGTACAAGCACAGTCATGTTATTTGTGCAGAAGCAGCATATAGAATTTTATATGTTATATTAGAACTGTTTGAGCTTAATGTTAAGAATTAAATAACCCAACATAACTCAAATAAATTTATAAAAGAGCTTCTGTCTGGAGCAGAACTAGGAGATGCATTGGCAAATATATAATGAGTTAAAGATGTTCAAATTGTTTAAAGAACCAATGAATGCAAAGTTATATGTTTAATCAGAGATATCAAGGGTTTTCAATTTGGAGACAAGAGCATGCACTCACCTTTTTTTGCTGAATAAAATATGCCAAAGTATTTTATTAATTTTAGGAGATTCACTAAAAAAAATCTGCTACAAAAAACAACAAACTCATTTTCATTACGTAGATATTTCTGGAGCTGTATATAGGTTCTGTTATGGTGTGGTCCTGACAATACGGCTGTTTTTTAACTGGGAAAATTTATGAAGAGTGGAGGAGAATGATGAAGAACTGGGACTATTGATGAGGGTTGGTTGTTGTATATTTTTTCCACTGAGCAGTTCAACAGCCTGGAGCAGCTG